ATTTCTCCTGCTCACCCCTGGGAGATGTCCTGCTTGTACCTCCTGGACAAGCAGCCCCTGGTGCAGCTTCCCCATCAGTGCTGGTTGTGGGAAGGGTCTCCTGTCACTCTGAGCAATCCCACACCTGTGCAGCACCCCAGGTCCTGCTGTCCTTGAGGTGCTGGCCCAGCACATGTGCCAGTGGCCCTGCTGGACTCCCTGGGGCTGGGGAATGAACTGCCTCTGGGGGTGTCCTGCTGTCACCTGCAGCCACTCTGTCCCACTAACTCTTCTGTGTGCCAAGCCTCCTGCTCTCAGAAGCTGGGAGAGAAGCAAGGCACCAGCCTGTCCCTGGAGCCCTTGTCCTCGTCCTGTCCTTGTCCCAGGGGTGACTGCTGGGTCTTGCCCTCTGCCATCCCATTAGGGCTGATGGAGGTCCTGCCCGACAACTGTGTCCAGGTGGGCAAGAAGGAGCTGATGTACATGGGCAGCGTGGGGCTCATCATGTACCTTGGTGGCGTCATCTTCATCAACAGGAAGAGCACCAGCAGTGCCAAGATGGTGATGTCAGAGGTGGCCAAGGCTATGGTGGCTGAGAATGTGAGTGTCACTGTGGAGACGGGTGGGGTGGCATGAGGGCATTGTGGCACTCCTGGTGCTCCTGGCTCAGCTTGGCAAAGCTGGCTGCTGTCTCCCACCACTGCAAGTGGATTTCTGGAGCAGAGCCTTGTCTCTCCATGTGCAGGTGAAGGTGTGGGTATATCCAGAGGGCACGAGGAACTGCACTGGGGACTTGCTGCCATTCAAGAAAGGAGCATTTCACCTCGCTGTCCAGGCACAGGTAATGGTGCTTTTCCCCTGCATGGGAGCCCTTGAGTGCTTTTGCAGTGGCACTGCACACTGATCATGCAGTGTGTGGTTTGTTTGCTCTCAGATGAGCTGTGTTCCCAAGTAACACCTGCTCAGGTAAACCACTGGTGTCAGAAGTGCTGCCCTGCAGCAGCCAAGAGCCTTTTCCATCCCCTCTGGGAATGAGCTGACCCTGGGCATGAGTGGCTGTAGACAGTGGAGAATTGCCCTGTCCTCTCTCCTGCCTGCCTCAGCCCTGGTGTTCCTCTGGAGGGAGGAGTGTGAGGGGCAAGCACACTTGATCCCTCTCTCCAGGCTTTCCTGGCAGCCTGGCAGGGCAATGCCAGTGCCCAGGGGTTCCTGGGGGCATGGCTGCAGCCCAGAGCTTGCTCCTGGCAGGGAGCCCAGTGGGTTCTTTTCTGGGGAAGCCCAAAGCTGACAATTCATTTCTCAATCCCCCAGGTCTCAGTCGTGTAGTGATGATTCAGGATTGTTAATTCTTATCCTTTAAAGCAACATCTGGGCTTGCTCTATGTGAAAATAGCTGCTGCCTCCCTGGCAGCCATATGGCAGTTCTTGATATGTCTTTTCTCTCCAAAATGACAGCATCCACGAGCAGTTAGTGGGGGAGCAGGCAAACAGCTTTAGCCAGCCAGAGCTGTCTCAGGAGCAGGGTGTTTGCCTGAGCACAGTGCTGGGGCAGTGTGCCAGAGACTGGGATGACTCGAGGCCTCAGGGGAAACTGGTTTCCCCGGGAGAGGTGTTACAGCAGGGTTTTTGGGAAAGGGAAGAGATGCCAGCTCTTTCACTAGGTTCGTTTGGCCAAGCCCAGGGTGTAGCCTGTGTTGTACCATTCCCATTCCTGCCTGGGTGATGCAGCCAAGGCAGAGCCTGGCAGCTGCTGGAGGAAAGGATGACATGGAACTGGTCCTGCCTCTGCTACACCCCCCTGAGTCACCAACTGTAGATCCTGGCTGTGTTACCAGCACTGGAATAACAGCTCTGCCTGCCTTCCTGGCCCTGTGTCTGTCTGAAGCTTCCCCGGGAGCAATTGATAACAACTGGTGACTCCTTTCCTTAGAAACTGAAAGCAGAGCAGCCACCCTGCCCCAGACACGTGCCTGTACAGCAGGCAAGGCCTGTCAGAACAGGCAGCCTGCAGTGTTTGATTACAGGACAGAAAGTACCTGGGGTTTGGAGCCTCACTTGGGTCAAGGAGGTGTAAAAGACAGTGCTGAGTTGAGGCTGGAGTGGAACTTGTCCCTGTTTCCTTGAGTATCCCTGTGCCTTGAGTTTTTGAGGAGTGGTTTTGATTCCATTTGGCTGCTGATTGTTCTACCCTTTGGAAGTGGGTGTTGCTTGTGGGGCTGTGTGTGCCCTGCATGTCTGAGAGCCAGGCCAGGTCAGCTCTGCAGTGTTGGATTTGCTGCCTGTCTCTGGCCTGCCCTGAGCTTCTGAAGTGCTAGTAACTCCTCTTTTTTTCCCTTTCCCCAAGGTCCCAGTGATCCCTGTGGTATATTCCTCCTTCACCACCTTCTATAACCCAAAGACGAAACTGTTTACATCAGGTAACAAAGAGTCACTTGGAGACAGGGTGGCTGTTGTCCTGTGTGGAGATGTGGCTCACAAGGGTGTGGGAGGGAAACAGAGCTGGGGTGAGCAGGAGGAGCCCCGCTGGGAGATGTTTGGAGGCAGTTCAAAGCACTTGGCACCAGAGCCTGGGCTGGGTTAACTCAGGAAGGGCTGTAATTAAATACACTGAGGGATGTTTTCATTAAAAATTGGGCAGGCTCTGGCTGGGATGGCAGTTTGGGGCACAGGGGATTATTCTGGGTGGCACAGCTGTTGGAGCTGGGATGTAACTCTGCCTGTGCTCCAGGGGTGGATGCCTGAAGCCCTGGGAGGGGTTGAGGGCTGTGCTGGGGCTGTCCAGGGTGGGGAACAGGGCAGAGAACAGAGCTCCTGTGGTGTGTGGGTTTCTCACAGGCTCCTCTCTTGTCCCCAGGCAAAATCAAGGTTGAGGTTCTGCCTCCAGTAGAGACCAAAGGGCTGACGTCAGACGATGTCACCGACCTCTCTGACAGATGCTTCAGCACCATGAGGGAGACCCTCTTCAAGCTCTCAGGCCATCCAGGCAAGGCAAAGGACTCATCCTAGAGGCTTCTCCAGTGGTGTCACCATGTGGTGGTGGCTGAAGGGACCTGTCTGTTCTTGCCAAATACTGAAGGATCTTCTTCTCCTCTGCAGTGATTTCTAGCTCTTGGGAGCACCACAGACTGGCACACAGAGGGTGTCAAGCCAGCACTAAGGTTCCCCTCTGAGTGGATTTCTCTTATGGGTTCATTTTTTCACTTTGAAATATCTCCTTTATCTGAATTTCTCAGGCAAAAAACTTGTGCTACCAAAGGGCTCAATGACCAGAGAGGTGAATTCCCCCAGCTTTTGCAGCTAGCTTGGGGTGACAGAAAAAACCTGCCTGGAGCTTTGCCTCGTGTGACTGTCCCTGCACCTGTGTTCCTGCAGGCTCAGCTCTTGAGGTGGCCCTGTGATGTCCCAGGTGGAAACCACCAGGCAGCAGTTTGTATCAGCACAACCTTGATGCTCTAACAGGGCTGAGAACCGGGGTGAAAAATCTAGATTTTGGCTTTTCAGCAGTGCTAGGAGTGTGGTGTCCTCCCTGGACAACCCAGAGCACTCCCACCCACCAGTGGGACACACAGCCTGTCCCCTTGAGATGCCCTTTTGTCACAACAGCATCACGTTGGGAAACTGCTGCCAGCTCCCCGCCGTGGTGGTGGCTCAGCCTGGTCACATCCCGGTGCCTGCAATGCCTCTTATGGAGGCAAAGGGCTCTGTCGTGCTCGTTTTGTCACTTGTCATGGTCAGCACTGGCCGAAAGATGGTGCCTGTCCCGCGTCTCTGCTGATCTGCGGGGCGGAGCTGCTGCTCTCCAAGGCCTGCAAAACCCCTGCAGAGCCACAGGGTGGGTGAGCTGCTGCTGGAAAGGGGCTGGGAAGGCTTGGAAGGCTTCAGCTCCCCCTTTGGGGGATATAAACTGCTTTCCCAGTCAGATAAAAGGGTCTCCCCTGTGCTTTGGGGTGGTGGACCAACAGAGCTCCTGGATCCCTCACCGGGAGCTGTGGAATGTTGATGCCCGTGGAGGCTGGGTCAGGTCCATGGTTCCTTAGCTTTAGCTCTTCTGTTCATGGCACAGGGGACCTTGGGATGAGCCAGCTGGGGCTACTCAGGTAACCAGCACACCCAGCTCCTGCAGCCTGCGTTGGTGGAGTTGTGCTTATCTGGCATTTTGGGGCTAAAGCCTCAGCTGGGAAAGGCAGGGAGCTCCATGGAAGGAGCCCTTGGGCCGAGATGGTGCTGCCAGGGGCTTCACTGGAGGGGCCTTACAGTACAGACTCAGGGGATGGGAAGGGTCGGGGTGGGAGGATGGGAACCAAACCAGCACTTTGTGAGAGTGGCAGATAAAGGGCTGTCATGGAGGGTCATCCCAGGAGGGCCCTGAGAGGGCTCCTGGGGAGGAGAACCATGTCTGACTCCTCCTGGGAGGAGGGAGCAGTGCCTCTATGTGCAGTTGTCTGCTGTTCACTTTTAATTGGGCTGAGAATGTTATGTGCTTTACAAAAAATCACCAAAAAAAAAAAAAAAGAAAAGAAATTACACCTTTGGTTATTTAAATAAAGGAGCCTCCTTGTCTTGTGTGGGGGGTGAGGGAGGAGGATGGGGGTGCTGAGGCCTGAGCTCTTGCAGGGGGTGGGTTTGGTGATGGAGGGGCAGGAGGGGTCCTTGTCCCCACTCTGTGACTCTGCTCCCCCCAGGCAGGAGGGTTGTGCTTCACCCAGCCTCACTGGTGAGGCACCATCCCAACTCCAGGGCTCCTGGAGAGCAGAATGGGAGCTGCAGGGATGGGCACCCACTCCTGTACCCAGCTCTGCAGGCACCAGGGGCTCCTGTCCCCTGCTCTGACACCTGGCTTGGGGCTGCAGGGACTTGTGACAGCAAGCACAGGGAGTGTGGGGAGGCAGCTGCCCTGCCTGGGCCAGGTCTGTGCTTGCTGCTCCCTGGGAGCTGTTATCCCAGGATAATGCTGAGGAAAAGCCAGGGGCAGCTAAACCCCCCGCCAGGGCACACACAGCCAGTCTGGCACAGCCAGGCACTCATGGCACGAGGTAAGGCATTTATTTGCTGCCTCTCCAGCAGGGAGAGGGCTCAGAGTCCAGTTTGGAAGGAACTGCGTGGCCTCTGGTGAGGTGAGCTGGAAGAGAGAACGATGGAGATGCTGATGGGAGCCCAGCCTTCTCCTGCCTTCTCCTGCCACCCTGTGCCTTCCTATGATGGTGTAGCTTCATCCCCATCCTGGGGCTGGAGAGGGTGATAAGAGCTGTGGATGCACTCAGCTTGCTCCAGATCCCCAGGCACTCTGCTAGAGTTCGTTCTTGCAGGAACCTGGGAAGATTAGAAAAAAAAAATAAATTCAGCCAGATAAATTCAGTCATTAGCCTGGCTTTGGTTTGTGACTTTCCCAGGCAAAACGAACTGACCTGAACCTCTGGGAATGTCACCCACACTTGCTGCTTTCCTTTTGGCAAATAACCCCAGGCTGGCTTCATCCCCCCACACTCGGGAGTGTCACTCTCACCTCCCTGGCATGTCACAGTCCTTGCCTGGGCCCTGTGCACAATGTCCCCAAATCCAGTGACAGTAACAGTCTGTGCTGGATCAGGGTAATTCAGACCTAGAGAGGCCAAAATCATTATGGCTTACAGAGCTCTGACCTGGTGCCTCTGCTGGTGGTTTAAAGAAGAGAAAATGGGTTTTTGGTCATTGCACACATCCCCACTGAGCAGTAAATTGGGGAGTGCAGTTGTAGGACAGCATTCAGTTGGGAAATGCTCCACCAGGCACAGGGATGGCTGAGTAACTCCATGGGATGCCCTGTGAGCCCCAGAGCTTGCTGGGGTATGACAGGACAGCTTTGTGTCCTACAGGGACCATGAAAAGAGACAAAAACAGGTTTTGCTTGCTGAGACAGACTTGGCAGAAATTAATTTCAGGACTTTGGAGTCATCCCTTGGAATGAATCCATGTTACCTTGTGATACTGCTCACATTTCTCTGTGCTGTCACTAATATGTGCAGGGCACTACTGGAAAACTCAGCCTGCTGGAACACTCAGTGGTTCTGGCAATTACCCCTTTCTGAGATGATTTTTAAGTGTCTATTTGCAGCTACTTTGTCTTCAGACAAGTTCTTTGAATTCTTTTTCTCTCTCAGCCATTACTGCAAGCACTGAACTGGGACTGAATATGCCCTGAACCAGTTTCTCCTGAGTCTTTCCAAGACTCAGCAAGCTGCCGTTGCACACCCCAGCCATGCCTAGTTTCTGGAATTATTTGATGGGAAAATGAGCTGCCTATCAAAATAAAAGAGTTTAGATGGTTGTGTTCTGCTTGGAGTGCAGGTGAGCACCACAGGGACACAAGGGGTGCTGTCCCTCTGCGTGGTGGGGACACCAGGCAGAACCTCCCCACCTCATTTCACACATGACAGCTCCCACTGGGGTCCCTCCCTCAGTTTGCTACTTCAGAGACCCTCTCTGGTGCCCTTACTGGTCTGTAAACTTCCAAAAGAAATGCCTAAACCTTCCCAGGCTCATAAATCTGCCAACTTCTGCACGCTCCCTAAACTTCCCTGATTGACTTTTTGGACTGTTAATTTTCTAAGAGTTGGGGGTTCTTTCCTAAGGACTGAGCTATCAGGAAGGGACAGCAGCTGTGAGGTGCTGCCTGCCACAGGTGCCCCACTGCTCCCAGTGCCTCCCACAGCCACTTTTCCATGTACCAATCCTACAACTTTTGGCTGCTACAAGGGCAGTCAGATGGTGCAGCCATAGAAACAGCTTTGAAATGAAGCTAATGGGCTGTTTGTGTTCATCCTTTATTAATTACAGGCTGCTGAGCTTGAGGCAGATCCAGATTAGCAGTGGCATATGTGTTACTGATCTCGCTGGCCCACGTCTGCTCCCCGTGGCCAGCATGGCTGCAGGGACATCCTTCCCCACTGCTTTTTCCAGGCACTTACAGGTCTCCAGCCGCTCTTCCAGGAAAGAGATCTGCTCGCTCAGGGACTCGATCCTGTCCAGCTGCTGGAGGGAGTGGGACAGGCGGCTGATGGGGTCTGCACCGACATCCTCTGGCGGCATCAGGTTGTGGAAGGGGGCCAGCACCAGCTGGAGCTTCTGCAGGGAGAAGGGGAGCTGTGAGTGCATCGCCCCCGGCAGCAGGACCACCGGGGGGATGCAGCACCCACCAGGGAGGGCTCAAGGGGCTGTGGTTGTGTTCAAAGGGCTGGAAAAGCCGTGGCGTGGGTGCTGCCGGCGGCTGCGGGGAGCACAGCTGGGATTGCTGCTGGGATGTTAAAAATAGAGCCGGGAAAGAGGGAAACCCTGGCTGCAAACAGCCCCGGGTGGGAGCTGGCCGAGCAGGAACAGGGCAAGGGGATGTGCTGCAACTCGCCTGCTCCAGCGCTTCCACTCTGCTCCTCAGGTCCTTCATTTCTTCCTTCATTTCACTGGAGGGACCTGAAAAAGTCACCGAGGGAATGCCAGTGAGTAAAAGCTCACTGCTGAGGTGAGGTGGAAGCTGCTGGGGAGGAAGACATGGCTGCAGGGCTGTGGCCAAGCTCTGCTGCTTTCCACCCCCAGGGTCTACCCCGCTGGGATCACCCCCCAGAGCATCAGCTGGACCTGCTGGCATCTAGTCCAGCTGCTAAAGGCACAGGCTGCTCCTCCTGCTGCAGCACCTGCAACGAAGTGGGGAGGGTTTCAGGCAGTGGGGCAATGCTTAAAGAACAAGAGATCTGGTGGATCCTGGCCTTATGTTGCCAAAAACCACCCAGCTCTGCCTTGTGCTGTGGTGGGCACAAGGGATTGTCCCTGCTGAGGGGACAATCCTGCACAGGGGTAGAGGCAGGTGGGGCACGTGCAGGCTGTCCCAGATGTTTGCTGGTGATGCCCGTGCTGGCCACAGCGCATTATTACTCACGGTACGAGTTTGAAGTGTCACAGCGCGTACCAAAAGTAATAATGGGCCGTCACCAGCGGCGCCCGCCGCTCCTCGTGGCTCCAGACCTGCCCTGCAGGAACGAGGATGATGAGGGAGAGAACAGACACATCCCAGACAGCTCCAGCCACAGCCAGGCCCTGTCACCCTCACAGATGGATTTGTGCTCAGGGGAAGTTGTTTGGGTGGGAGAAGCACTCCTGGGTCCGCGAGAATAAAGCTGAGGGGCTCTGGCTGTTGTCCCCTCTCCCATCTCCTGGGAGTGTTCTCTCAGCTCTCACTGCAGGCCCCCAGCAGCTGGGGCTCAATGTGGGGACAGGATACCTGTGTGGCTGGAGGTGTCTGTCCCAGGTGCTGGCACCAGGGGCTGGCAGCCCTTGTCATCGGCAGCCAGGCTGAAGCCGTCCCGGCAGGCGCAGTGGAAGCTCCCAGCAGTGTTGATGCACAGCTGGCTGCACCCGTGGCTTTGGCTGGCACATTCATCCACGTCTGGAACACAGGAACGGCTCAGTGAGGAGGGGATAGGGCGAGGGACACAGGGGGGCTGCAATGGACCCCAGGGAGTGCCCCCAAGTGAGCTGGTGTTTGTGCCAGGCACAGCTCTGGCTGTCTCAGCACCACCAGCGCCTGGGACAGCCCTGGAAAAACCTAGGCTAAGCTGGAGGGGTCTGGCCTCATCCCCTCCTCCTGCCCCCCCTACAACACAGCCAGAAGGAGAAGCTGTGGTCAGAAATGTCCCAGCTCTGGCCAGGCGGGCGCAGGCAGTGCTCGGCTCTCATCCCGGATTTACGGCCGGGGTTTTGGTTCCAGCCAGCTGTGGCGAGGAGCTATCAGCCTTTCAAGTGTGTACAAAACCCAGTAACCTCTCCTCACACGGGGGAGTTATTAAAGCTGTTCCCACAAAGCAGAAAGAGCTGAAGCTCTTCCCACGCCCGGGCAAATCTGTTTTAGGCAGTGGGAAAATCCTTTCCGTCGGAGCTGGAGCTGTCAGGATGGGCTCAGCCCTGCCTGGCCCAGCATGGGTCAATGCCACACGCTCCTCCTCTGCCTTACAGGAGGCTGGAAAGCTGGGAAAAGCTGGGAAATGCCATGGCAGGGGTTTGAAGCACTGGTGGGCACCACACTGCCTGATTTCTCCATGCTGTGAGGAGCACTGGGGCTGTTCCTGTGACATCACCAGGCTTCTCATCCACCCCCAGATATTTTTGGGTTATGGATTTTTAGTCTCTGCAGTAAAAGGGAGTTTTAGTTTACAGCAAGAGCCTGGGAGGGATGATCACAAATGAACACAAATGAACACAATCCCAGGCTGGCCCCACAAAGGCTCTGTGCTGCAGAGAGGCTCACAGCTCTGCTCACACTGACCCAGCACAGAGCAGCAGGCAGAGAAAATGGGGGTGCCAGAGCTGCACAGGAGGGAGAACTGAGGCAGCCAGAGGGAGGCCAGACCTCCCCTGGGAACCCCACTTCCCATCCTTCCCTGGAGCAAGTGTTCATGTGTGTGCAGAGGGACGGAATCAGACACGGCCCAAGGTCTGATAAGGTCTGACAAGGTCCTGTCCCCCCTGAGGGGTTGGTGTAGGGCAAAGGACACCCAGAGCCCCATGGCAGCTGGCATGCTCCCAGGAGAAGCTCTCCCAACAACAGCAGCAGGACAGGTATGACACAGGCAGCAGGGACAGGGGGGACATGGCCAGTACCTGTCTGGCAGGCTGGCCCTGTCCAGCCAGGGGGGCAGGAGCATCTCCCGGGGAAGGCGCAGCTCCCTCCGTTCTGGCACGGCTCCCAGCACAGAGCTGTGAGAGGAACAGCAGCACAGCATCACCCAGCTGCTCCGGGGGTCCCCAGCTCCCTCCCTGCCCCCTGGAGGTGTGCACACCCCAAAACACACCAGCACCACACAGCAGGGCTGAGCTGCCCAGAGGGAACAGGACTTAGGGTGGGTGGAAGGAAGAGGAAGAGGAGCTGGAAAGAAGCTGAGAGGCCTGAAGGCAGCAAAGATGGGAAGGAGGAGGGCAGCAGGCAGCAGCAGCCCCTGGTGCCACGCTCTGAGCTCACTGGGAACAGACTGGCTGCTGCTGTGGTTTGTATTTGTTGCCTCCTGAAAGTGTTTCTCATCCATTTCTGCTGATTTAGATGGGAAGGACTTGTTTTATTTATCCCCTGGTAACCATAAAGGTAATAAGTGATCCCAAAGGAAAAAGGCCCAAGAGGCAGCAGAGAAAAGCTGGGAATTAATCAGATATTGAACCACATTTGGCTGTGATGCTGCAAATTTAATTCAGGGAGAATCCACTGACAGGCAGAGGGTTGGTAAAGGAGAGATGTGGTCCTGGGGCTCCCTCCAGGGACATGAAGGGTCTGGGGACAGGCAGTGGCACCGGGGTGACCCAGCAGCTCCTTACCTCTGTTACAGCCCAGCGTGTGGCCGTTTGCTCTGCTCCATCCAGGACAGCACGAGGCCACGGGCTGGGGCAGCTGCCTGTACCTCTGCCTGTAGGCAACCCTGTAGATGGTCCTGCAAGGCAAGGCTGGGCTGAGCAGGGTACCCCAAACCCCTCTCCTGCTCCCACAGTGGCACAGGGCGCTCCCAAGGGCTGGGACCCCCACCCCTGCGGGTGCAGCAGGATCTCTGCTGCCCGTGGCACAGGCAGGTGGGCTCACCTGTAGGTGCTGCAGAGGCGGTGGCCCTGGCAGGTGGTGAGGTAGGGCTGGTACACGGGCTGCACGTGGGACTCGGCGTGGGCGCTCAGGCGGCTCGAGCACACCCTGCGCCTGGGCACAGAGGGATCGCTCAGTGCCGCAGCCAGGACACGGCCTGAGCTCCCCTCCCTGCTCTGGGCTAGTGGACAGCAGTGGCTGGTTGCCCCAGCGACCTGGGAAAGCCACTTCAAGCTGTTTCGGGTCAGTGACACAACTCTGGAGCGCTGTGAGCGGCGCGGGCGCTTCCTCCCCCGTCCCGAGGGAGCAGTTTGGACCCAGATTTAGGGATGATTTACTCACTACATTCATTGTCTCCCTTCCCCTAAAATCACTCACTTTCTGGGCGGATTTTTCCTTTCTGAGACTTTTGCATTCCTGAAACGGATGCCCCTGTGGTCACCAAGAAATTAATGATTTCACAGGAAGGGTCAGGCTCACCGCAAAAAAATTAGAGGTTGGATGAAAGGCACTCCCCAGCCTTCCTAAGATAAGTGTTATCCAGTCAAAAACTTTCCCAAGGTTAACAGCCAAAGTGGTCTTGTTTAAACATCCTTTTTTTCAACAACTTCCAGCCCAAGCAGGTCAGTCCCACTGAGGAACCCATCTACTTGTCTCAACCTCCCAGTTCAATTAGAAACTAAAATAAAAAGCCTGGGAATTAGCATGGACATCAGATGGTTTCCATTAACTCCAGAAAACTCCTCTCAGCCTCATGATTAATGTTATAGAAGATGCAATTTTTAAATGGCAATTGTTTGCTTTGTAAAATTCAGAACAAAGTTTTAGCTGCAGCCTCTGTGTGAGAGCGAGAAATTCAGCTGTGGTTTCAGTCTTGGACAGAATGTGAAAGGTTTCACACTGGAGGAGCATTTCAGTGTAAAAACAAACTTTGTAGAAAATGTGAGCTGTGTCTGGGGGAGGGTTTTGAGCTCCAGCTCCTCTCAGCTCAGGAAGAAACTGGGGCACTGAGCTCTGGGCTTCCTCAGACCCAGCAGGAGCTGAGCTGTGCCTGCCCAGGCTGTGCTGGATCCAGGGAGTCCTCCCAGACCCATTTCCCAGGAAGGGAAGGGGAATTGCTGGAGCTGCCAGTGCTGGGCTGGCAGGACCATGGGCCCCAGCAGCATCCTGGGGGGCACAAAGCCCAGGAGGGAACAAAGCCCAGCCCAGAGCTTCCCACACCTCTGTCCCTGGGTGTCCATCAGAGCTGGGAGCTGCATCCTCTGATGGAGCTGCATCCTTCAGTGACAGCTTGTTCACAAGGCTTGATTTGTGTGCTAGCAGGATTTCACACATATTTTCATGAAGGATATGCTTGAAAGAGACTGTAATAACTCCTGAACAGCTCAGGGCCTGATGAGCTTTTGACTCTCCTGGACAAAAAGCCCAGAGTGTCTTTGTGGCCCTGCACAGAGTTAAACAGAGCTGGGACATTTCCTCTGAGAGATGTTTTAGCTCCAGTGAGAAAGCAAACAACCAGCAATGGGCTGCTGAGCCTTGGGAGAGCTTTTTCCACCTCCTCACCACCCAGAGAGCCACACAGGGCTGTTCCCCCCCAGAGAGGACGTGCCTCACCCTGATGGGTGAAGAACACACCTGAGAGGTGCAGACAAAACAGGCTCTTACCCTGCCTGGGCAAAGCCCTCCGTGCTGCTGGTGCTGAGGATGAGGAGGAGTCCCCAGAGGAGGCAGCTGAGGCTCCACATGTCCCGTCCCTCCTGCAGCTCTGGGTCCTGCTCTTCTGTGGGATGTGCTGGCTCCTACTGCATGGCTCGTCCTTCCGTGGGGATCCCTGCAAGCAGGAGGGCAGCACTGTGAGAGGGAGGACATTTCAGGAAAAAAATTCTTCACTGAAAGAGAGATTGGGCACTGGAATGGGCTGCCCAGGGAGGCAGTGGAGTCACCATCCCTGGATGTGTTTAAAAACAGACTGGACATGGCGCTCAGAGCCATGGTGTAACTGAAAGGAGGTGTTAGGTCAAAGGACTTGATCTCAAAGGTCTTTTCCAGCCTAGGTCAGTCTGGGATTCTATGAGGTGTCCCTGCCCAGCTGGTGACACCCAGCAGAGCCGTGGGGACAAAGCCCTGGCAGGGTGGGAGCTGCTCCAGGCACAAACCCACCCTGCCCCGCTCATCCCATCACTGTGCACAATATTAACTCAGGAATTATCCTTGATTTACCCCGGGGGATGCCTGGAGATGCTCTCAGGGCACCAGGGGCTGTGTTTTGCCTCCAACTCGCTGCCAGTTCCAGGCAGCGAGGGCAAAACAATGGCCTGTCATTTCTTAATGCACACAGCATTGTAAAGCTGTGTTTTCCCACCACATTAAACACTGAAATCTGATCTTCTTCTCTTTAAAACACAAATTCGTGACAGGGAAAAGTGCTGCAAGGGCTGTATGTACCATCTGCAGAGCTGGCTCTGAGGCACAAACCCAGAGGTTTTGATTTTCTAGCAGAGGACAAATACAAAACCAGGCTGAAGAGGGTCAGTAACAATATCCAGTTGAAACAATATCTCATTTAAACAAACCACTTGGCCTCCGGATGGCAGCAGAAATAAAGAAACCCACCTTAAATATGCACCAATGAAAGAAAGAATTAAACTTTCTGAAAGGGGAGACTACACAACAAGAAACCTCCTTCTGAGACTGCAGATATGGTGAACTGCAAATCAACTTTCTAAAATCTCCACATGCTGTGGGGCAGGATTGGACTGGAAAATTGCAGTTTGATCCCCAAACTCCACTGGGAAATCCCAACTCTGAGACAGATTATTACAAACAACCATGGCAAATCTGCAGACCCTGCAGGTCTCCAAGCCCTTCTCAAGGCACTCAGGATCATCCTTTCCTTGGTGCAGGAGAAGAATCTGAGGCAGGGAGAAATGGAGATTCACATCTGGAGAGAAACCAGCCTGGTGCCTTCCTGCCCCTTAATATCAAATGTCAAATATCAAATATCCCAGCAGATTTCCATGCAAACCCAGCCCTGAGGATGGAAGGAGGATTTTGTTGCTTTGAAGCCTGCAGTCCTCCATTCTTCTTCAAACACTGCAATGAATTTAACTTCCTAATGAAGAATTTGTGGTACCTCCACCATCAGGAAAGCAAATCTTGCTTGTCCTGCAGAAAAGTTTTTTTTAAAAATAGAGAAAGAGCTTTCCCTTTCCCCAGTCCTCCTGGAGACATTCCAAGGACACTGGTGCTCAGACACACACCAACTCCCCTTTGCTCCATCAGCCAGCTTTTCCCAGGGCTATACTGGGACACAAAACTTCCCTACAATCCCAGATCCTGAAGTCTGGAAGTCAAACTCTGCCAACCATCTCCATCCTCCCACAGGATTCCCGTGGCTGCCATGGGAGCTTTCCTTGTGGGGACTGCAAGAAGCACAGGGCACGAGCCTAAAATACAGTTTGTTTTTTCACTTTGAACTGGAGCAGCACTGCCCTACCTCAAGGATCCCTCTGGGCCACAAAATTATGGTTGCTTTGTACCAGAAAAAGCTGTAAAAGTAGAAAATATCATCGTCTAGACTTGTCTTTTTTATGTGCTTACAAAAATCAACCTCTTTAAAGATGCTGAGGATCCTCCAACCTGTTGACGCCATCTATTCAATGCTTTTTTAAAGCACAGAACTTAGAGAAGAAAAAAATTATGCTCAAGGATAAATAAATACTTTTTTTGTCTCTGCCTTTTAAGCCTCTCAAACGAAGAGGTGAAACCCTGTGGTCTGACAAGTGAAATTATGTCTTAGGGGTCAGCAAACCCTCCTGGCTGACCACGTGCTCCTGCGAGTCTGGCAGTCCCTGTCCCACCAGCCAGAACCATTCCCAAAATTCTCCTAAATTCCCAAAACTCTGCTCTTTCCTCACCTGCCACAGCGATCTAGGGGACACACAACCCACGGCACAGGTGAGCAGCACTTTCTCCAGCTCTGCCCACGGAACCACGGCCAAAACTCCAGCTGACGGCAGCAGGAGGAATCGTGCTCTGGCTGCAGAGGGATGAGAGAATCCAGCCCCTGGCGAGGATGCCACGGCTCTCCCGGGACCTGGAGCTGCATTTTTCCATCAGCCCGGCCTGGTCTGCAGGGGAACCCGCGGCTCCAACCCTGGCCTGCGCCCTCAGAGCCAAACCCCGCCGGAGAGGCTCAGTGCCACCCGCAGGGGATGGACTGTCCTTCGCAGACACCTCCAGCCGCTGCCGGCGCTGCCTGGGATGCGGCACGGAGCGGGACACGGGCACGGTGACACCGCGGAGGGGGCTGTGACACTGTCCGCCGGGGCACGGGGACACGGGGGCTGCGGGGACAGCGTCACCAGGCAGGGACCGGCACCGCCGGGGGCTGCGGGGACACGGGTGTCCCGGGGGGTGTAGGGACACGTATATCCCGGGGAGCTGTAGGGACACGGGTGTCCCGGGGAGCTGCGGGGACACGGGTGTCCCGGGGGGTGTAGGGACACGGGTGTCCCCGAGGGGCTGTATGGACACGGGTGTCCCGGGGGGCTGTAGGGACACGGATATCCCGGGGGGCTGTAGGGACACGGATATCCCGGGGAGCTGCGGGGACACGGGTGTCCCGGGGGGCCGTAAGGACACGGGTGTCGCCGGGGGAAGGCGGGGACACGGCTGTCCCGGGGATGCTCCCGCGGCCGCAGCAGCCCGATCCCCGAGCCCGGGCCCCCCCGGCCGCCCCCCGCGCTGCGGCACCGAGCCCCGCTCCGCCGGCACCCCCGTCCCCCGCCCGTCCCCGCCGGGGATGCGGCCGGACCCCCCGGCCGTGCCGAGCCCCCCTGGCCGTGCCGAGCCCCCCCGGCTGTGCCGAGCCCCGGGCGGCGCCCCCCGGGACTCACCGGTGCCGGTGGCGGAGCCGCGGAGTCGCCGCCGCGCCGCGGCCCCCGGCGCATTTCCTCCCCCGGCCCGGGCCGGTCCCTCCGCCCCGGCCCAATGAGCTCCAGGCGGGGAGGAAAGCGGAGCCTCCCGGCCGGGGGGAAGCGCCGGGGCCCGGGGATCTCCGCCTGCCCCCGCCCTGCCGGTCCCCGCCGGCCGCCACCTGCCCCCGGGACACGGCAGCGCCGCGGAGCCACCGGGACCCGCGGGGGACTCATGCGGGGACAGGGCAGGACCCCCGAGATGTCCCGCCCGGGTGAGGGGACACGCTGCTGTAGCGTCCCAAACGTCGCTGATGGGGGCAGGATTGCGGGGACCCCTGTCCCGGGGGATGAGGAGCCTTACCTGTGACCCCAGGGCCGGAGGAGCCGCACGGGCTGCGGGACACGCGGTCCCCGGGCCCCCCAAAGGCCCAGCCCGGCTGGGTGGGCAGCGGATTAACAGCGAGAGATCGCGGCTCAGCCCCGGCCCCTCGCCCCGGGCTGCTCGGACTCCCCGCGGGGATGGTCCATCCCCAGGGCAGCGGCCTGGGCAAATTGAATTCTCTTTACTGAAAATGACTGTCCTGGTCCGCGCCCCCCACCACGAGCACAGAGGATTTTAGGAGGAGGCATCACCTCTCCCTGGGTTAGAGACCTGCTCCAGACCCTCCCGCTAATCCCCTGGGCTCATCCCAAAGTCCTGCAGGAGCCGGCGGTGAACCACCAGGTTTCAACAAATCATAAAGGATGCTTAGAGAATTCCTTGGAAGCCCCCCAGCTGCAGAGGGACTCTCCTGGGTGACACCCGGGGCTCAGCCCCGGCTGCCCAACACCTGCCCCAGGACAGCCCGAGCCCAGCTGCCTACAGGCTTCTCCTCTTAAATGCCCAGTTATTTATCAAAGCCGCTCGGTTTGTGCCAAATTGCCACTTGTTTTGTCTACATTTTTGTCTGGAAAATTAGAGCACAGAGGGTTATTGTTTCTCAAATGACTTAGGCGCCTGCCCATGCACAGAACCATTCTTAAAGATAGCAGGGATCTGATGTGCAAATGAATGGCAGGATACAGCCCCCTGGGAATATTTGTTCCCATTAAGCCCTGTACATTTTTTGAAAGCATGTAAGCATTTAAAGGAAATATTTACCAGTTCAACAATAATGGCTCCAAGAGAACAACTGAGATCACTGGCCCATCCCCTCTGTTTCCTCAGGGATATGCTGGGGCTGCCGGTGGAACTGGAGATGCCCCGGGCCGTGCTGCACCCTCTGGGGAAGCTGATGGGTACTTGGGGCTCCCAGTGTAAAAAGCAGCTTTGGTGGGATCCTCCCTGGGAAGGGAACAGAGGGGAATCCTCTCTGGAAGTGCTGGTGGAGATGGAGATCCCTCCCAGCAGCAGGGAAAGGTTTGCTGGTGCTGGGGGAAGTGCAGCTCTGTGCTGTACAGCATCTCACACGGGTTTGTTCACCCTCTGGAGCCATCCTACCTCTGGGGAATTATTTCAGTTCCCTTAATTTCATCAGCACAGGCAACTTCTCCCAAGAGCCTTGGAAGAACAGTAATTATCTTGTTATGCAGAGAGCCTTATTGGGTTTTTTTTCTGGTGTACAGGGGAGATTAACAGAGCCTGAATTATTGTCTAATAATTGCAAAATGCACGTGGAAGCCAGAGCTTCTCTGTGTGGCCATACTGAAAACACAGGATCTCATTTTGCAGCTGAGACAACTCACCTCACCCACGGTGCTCCATCACGTGTCCTGGGCAAGGGATCCTTTGCTTGAGGAGCATCTTGGTTTCTTTCTGTGAGGACAGAAAAAGCACAGGGTTACACTCCCCTTGTCAGGCAGACAGAGAGCAGTGACCCAGCCCTCACCCACCATGGAGCTGGTGTTCCCTGGACACTCCCAAAGATCCCTGCAGGCTGGTGGCCACGGAGCCCCTGTGGCACTGAGCTCACACCTCTGGTGTGCCAGAGAGGCACAGACACTGTCACACCCATGGCAGGGCATCAGGAAACCCATCCCATCCCACAGGGGGTGTTTTAGGAGCATCCCATGGCCCTGATCCTCCCTCACCTTGCTGTGATCCCAGCGGGAATCCAGGCAGAGCCACGGTGCCTTTGCACCTTTTAGGGCTGAGCAGGCTGGTGGATGAGCAGGGGCTGATGAGCAGGAGGGATTTGCTGAGCAGGATCTGTCCCCTCCAGCAGCTTTGCCAGTGCTCAGGGCTGGGATTTTCCAAGGACCCAGGAGAACAGCACCTGGCACACTCTCCCAGGTGTATCCAAGCTTACCCCCTCATTTGTGATCCCCTCTGCCCCTCCCCAACACTATTTTACCATTGCACTCTATTTTACCATTTACCCTCATTTAAGGACAGGCATCCCTCACTGCCCAGGAAACCTTTGCATGAATCCCTGGGATTCCAAGTGCAAATTTGATGGTGAGGAAGAGGATGGATTCATCCTTCAGCTCCTCAGAGGACACCACCACGCAGCACAGGACCGAGCCTGCTCCTTCCAGGGACCCCACTGGAGCCTTGTCAGCCACAGGCAGCCACTCCCCAAGTGCACTGAGCATTTTAAAATTCTGCCAGTATTTTAACTGCAGAAACTTTCCTTTCCAGTTCCATTTATTGGGTCAAATCTTTGCTCAAGCAAGTGCCCGTGTCAGCTGCTAAAGAGCTGCACACAGCCCATTAAAAGAGCATTTAATCCTCCTCTCTCAGGGAGGGTTCTGTGTCTTCTGTGCTAATATTCATTATGCTGGGAGGGAAATCCCGCAGGACAAGGCCTGGCAAAGTTCCCTTGGAAGCAGAGGAGTTATGCCAGTTCAGAGTGGGGGAAGATCAGATCTGTTGGCACTGTTAATGTCAGTGTGATGAGCTCCTGACAAAGGCAGCAGGGGATTTTTGGCTCCTGCCTGCGTGGCCGCCTGAATTCAAAGTCCTCCCTTGCCCCATGTTTTACATTTTTCCCCCACAGCTTTCTCCCTTGCACACCAGAAGTGTACTCCCACGACATCTAATATTAATGCTTGTCTCCAGGCCAGCAAAGAAATGTTTCTGCCCAACCTCCCTCTTGGGTTGAACAATGTCAAAACCTCCTTGTCTCCCACTGGCGTTACCACCAGCCCGAGCTGGGAGGGACGGCGAGTGCTGGCCCCGAGCAGATCTCAGGCTGAGCACCAGGCTGGCTGTGCAGGTGAGATTTTCACCCACCTCCCAATTTCCTAGAGCCTGCCAAGCCCACTGCACCTGCCTGGGCATCCAGCAAACCCCTGAGAGCACCCGTGGGGGACTGAGGGCTGGAGCTGAGGGCTGGGAGCACTTCCCTGTTTGCCAGGAGAGCCTGGAGGGTGGCAGGCATCTGGGGCATGAAGAAGGAAGGATTAACAGTGGAGAATTGAAGTCCCACATCAGGAACCTGCTCTTTAGAGAGGAGCACTTCCAGCCCCTCACAGAAAACAGGACGTGCCCAGGCACACGAGCTCTCCCCAAATGGAGTGCTGGAGTGACAGATGGATGGGGACACGGGCAGGAGAGTGACACACATACAGATGCAAAACTTTTCAGCCCCCACAAGCCGTGGCTGACCCCATACCTACGGTGCACAATGGGCTCTCACTGGTCTCCACGGGGGTCTGGCACAGAACTGCAGGCACTTGCTAAAGCAAAAGGGAATTTTTGGTGCTTCTCAAAAATAGAAAAAGGAGGAATGGCTTTTGCTGTTCTAGGACAAATTCTTCTGCCCAGGACTTCATGAGGCTGTTTGTAAACTTTACACTTCACTTTAAGCTTTGGAGCAGCCCCTGTTCTGCAGAGCTCTGAGGAAAATGACCTCCCACTATTCTTTTCTGGCCCATATTGTTCTCAGCTGCGTCAGCTGCACTCCAGCTATCTCAGTGGAAATCTAAGAGTCCACTCATGGCAGTGGGATAAAACCAGGTCAAACCAAGAAAAAGACTTGACCCATAACTCTTGCTCTTGTTGCCACCAGTGGCTCAGGACTCTGCATATTAAAACTGAGACCTGAGCCCCACAAAGTGATTTTTTTTGGCCTGAGTAAGGACTCACAAGCATTATTTGTCTCAGGACCAGTGTGTTATAACTTAAGGTGCCCATGGGGACAACCAGCAGCTGAGCTGGAGCTGTGCAAAAACAAATGCAGGAACATCCCATAGCCAGCTTTATTTTCCCTCACACGCACACTTGAATTTTTATTTACATTTAGAGGACACAGCAATGGCTGCAGTGTAAAAACTGGGAAATGATTCATCCCACCCAAGAATAAACTGAATTTTGCGGCTGTCTGTAAAATTTCCCCAGCAAAACCTGGCAGTGGTGCCCTGCCCCACTTTCCCAGTGAATCAGCACATGGGAAGTGTGGTGGGATAGCTGGAGCTGCAGGATGGCTCAGCCCCTCCACCATCCCAGGGAACAGCTCAGCAGAGAGCCTTTCACACAAGAAATTCTTGCTCTGATTATCTTTCTCTTCCAGGGGGAAGCTTCCAGCTGCAGGAACCTGCCCTAGGCAGGACAGGGATCCCGGAGCTCACTTTGGGAGAGAGGAAAGAACAGCTCTGATCCCCGCTTCTGTTTGCAGAGGCACTTTTGTTTTCCTGCCTGGTCTGGGACCTCTTTCCCGGTGTTTCTCCCAGCCCTCCTGCTGCTGGGGCAGGGGCAGTGGGGCGGGCTCGTTTACCCCAATTTGCTGCAGTTTGTAAATCTGCCTCCCCGGGGCCAGCCCCATCTGCAGAGCCGAGCCTGGGAAAAGGCTGCAGTGAGCCTCCGCACCGGATTCAGTTTCTCGTCCTTACCTCCAGGGAAACTCGGGAGAGCTGGAACAGCAGAGAGGGGGAGTAGCTCCATCGGCAGATCCCAGGGAAGGACAGTGAGAATCTGCCGGGGCAGATCCTTGTTTCCCACTGCTGCCCAGAGGTGAGGTGAGTTTTTGAGGATGCTCCAGCTCCAGCCACAGCGGCCTTCCACAGCCTCCCAAGCACTGCCAGACCTTCCCAATCCAGCTTGAAATGAATTGAATCACTGGCAAAGCCTTGTTGTTGCTTTCTGTGTTTGATTCTCTGCTCGGGGAGTTGGTTCCGTGAATGTTGGACCCTGGGGAAAAATATGCTGGGTTATTTCTACCAAGAGCCCCTCACTGGCGTGGTTCTGCTTCGTATTCCTGCACAGCCAGGCAGTGCCTGGGTATCCCAGCTGTTCCTTTATCCCAAAATACCCTGGGTGCCTCACTGGAAGCCTCCTGCCTGCACTGTGCAATGTCACAGACGAGGACAGCAGGACCCACAGGTAGCTGCAGACAGCATGAAAACCACCCAGCACCGTGGTTATAAATCTGGGAGGCTTTGCAGAGCTCCTGGTGTGCACACCCAGCAGGATCCAGGCTCGGCTGTTAGTCAGGACAAGCCTTGGTGGCAGAGCCAGGACAGTCCTGCCCACATCCCTGTCCTGCCCCACATCCCACCTGGGTCTGGGGTGAATTCAGCAACACACAGAGGAGAGCAGAGGGCAGGGAGCAGAGTGGGGAGGATGGACAGCCTGGTGATGTACCAGAGGTATCCAGAGAGCAGGCAGAGGGAAAAGGGAGGGAGTTACAGAAAGAAAAGAGATTAGCTAAGAATTTCCAGTTATCTCACAGGAATTTGTGCAAGTGTTTGCAGCCTCTACATGCACAGGAGGTAAAATTTACCCACTGCCTTCCCCTCCCCATGAAAACAGCCTGAATGCCAGTGGGGTGACTTAAAAATAACAGTGCTGGAGGCTGGGCTGGGCTCAGAGCAAAGCCCTGCTCAGCACGTGGCTGCCAGCAGATCCAGCCTTGCCGGGAGCAGGTGAGGCTGCCTCACACACCTGTGTGCTCCAAGGGATGTTCTGCACCCCTGTGTGCTCCAAGGGATGCTCTGCACCCCTGTATGCTCCAAGGGATGCTCTGCACTCCTGCTCACTCCGTGCTGGGTGTTCAACCATCCCCAAGGCTCCCAGCATCACCAGCAAGGCCAAAACCCACTCAGAGCTCACAAGGAGCTGTCCGCAGTGCCAGCTCCCCATCCCATCCCATCCCATCCCATCCCATCCCATCCCATCCCATCCCATCCCATCCCATCCCATCTGTCTTGGTTTGGAAAGACAGGTGTTTGCTAAGGAAGGCAGGAGCCTCCCCTGAAACGGAGAACGTGAACCACCACCCCCCTCCGAATCGCTGTAAATTTTACATTAAGGGGCTCTGTGGTACCTTGGGTGCCCCCCTGTCCCCCGCTGTGCTCCAGGTGGCTCCTGGTGGCCATCCCTGCCCGGCCACCCCGGCTCCAGCAGCCCCGTCCCGCTGTCCCCGCTGTCCCCGCTGTCCCCAGCCGCCGGCTGTGCACAGGCAGGAGGTGGCTGCCGAGGTGGAAGGGCGGCTTTTTATGCTTTTCTTCCTGTATAAATCAGGCCGGGGATGGACAATCCCAGACAGGACTTCCTGTGTGTGTTGTGAGCTGATAAGGGGCGCCGCGAGGAGAACAAACACGGCCGCCCCGAGGGGGAGAGGGGCACGGGGCGGGACCCCCACGAGCCCACCACGGACAGGAGGCAGCCACCAGTCCCTGGGGACACGGGGAGGGACAGGGCTGCTGGCCCAGGCTCCCTCCTGAGCCTCACACCAGGCCTGAGATGGCTGGGACCCATCCCAGTGGGACACATCCCACCCCATTAGGGCACATTTTGGCAGCTCCCACTCCCATTCCCCCTCAAAGGGGGACACTGGGGACCCCCCCCAGCACCAGGGACCTGTGCCAAGCATGGCAGGGTTGGTGGCCACCTCCTCAAGAGGGGCCACGTCAATGTTGACCATCATTGGAGCACCTTCTGGGGTATTTGTGACCCCCCGAAATTTGGGATACAAGGCTGTGCTCAGGTTGTTGTCACCTTGTCACACCGTGCCTGCGTTGGGAAAGAGAGAGGTGCGTGGTTTGGGCCACTAAACCTGCAGGGCATCACCTGACAGAGGTGTTCTCTTCAGGGCCAGGCAGCACAGAAGTGTGGAAACAACTGCCCTGATGCCCTAATTTTCAAGCCCATTTGTGTGCAAATTTGATAGTATTCCAAATTTAATCTCTCCGTGTGTGTGTGACCTCGGTTCTGGGCAGCCAAAGGAGCAACAACACAGTTTGTAACAGGATTTTGGAACTTCAGACTAAAAACAGGCGTTTTGGAGGGTGAGGGCTGTGGCAGTGGCAATCATTTCTCTAATCTCCAGACCCCCACAGCAGCCTGTGGGCTCTGCTCCTGTCCCAGCAGAGTGCCTGGCATGGATTTAGGGCCAGCCACGTGCCACCTGGGGTCCCCTGTGTCCCCAGCTCGTGCCGCAGCTCCTGCGCAGGCTCACGGGGAGCACAGAGCTACTCCCACCCTGATTCAGCAGAACAGAGCTCTGGGCAAATCCCCTGGGAGCCGCAAAATATTCCTGTGTTTATTTATATAAATGCATGGCTAAAGAAAGCCCCCTCTTGTTTTCCTTGGCAGAAAGGGTTTTGGAGGCTGCCCATCACCCTCCCCAGCAGCAGGTGATGGTGTGCCCTGTGTGTGAGTGCTCCCAGTGTGCAGCATTCCCAGCTGAGGGAATCTTTGGGAGCACAGCTGTCCCCGAAGCAAAAATGAGCTCAGTCTCCCTCTTTTCCTCTCAGTGATGGGTTTTAAGCAGCAGCTCCCCGTGGAAAGGCTCAGGGGTCACTGTGGGATGAGGGATCTCAGATGCAGGGCTGAGACCTCTCCCCACCATCCGCACACACACAGGCTCAGCCCTGCAATGCTGAACACCTCCTTAAAACTCTGCACCCAAATTTTATGCTCTGCAAGCAGCCCTGCCTGGCGCTGTGCCATCTGTCCTGGGATGAGTGGGGACACCATCACCCACCCCTCTGAGCCCACACGGACTGCAGGAGTGACATGGGATGTGTGGAAAACCCTTCCTGTTTACCCAGGGCTGGGAGCTGCTGCAGTCAGCAGGGGCCACACGAGTGGAGGGGGTTTAAATCTGAAACTGGGACGCTTCATCTTGTCCTCCCAGGGAAATCAGTGCTGGGGGAAAACCTGGGAGGCAGCCAAGGCTCAGTTAGGAGGGAAGGAGGGAGCCAGAGGGGGGTGGCCATGCCAGCTGTGCCCACACCTCTGCCTGCACCTCCCATTGTCCCCAAAGCCTCCTGCTGGCATCTCCAGCCCACCCCAAGGTGACCACAGGTGCAGGGGGACCCCCCAGAGCAGAACAGCCACTCTCCCTGTGCCGGTCTCTTGTTCCTCCTGGAAGTGTCCACTTCTCCAATAAAGACATTTTCCAAAGGCTCTGACACCCACAAGGCCTCCTCTCCAAGTAGCTGCTCATTAACACCAGAAGCTAATTGTTAATTAGATATTTGACATCACATTGCACAAGGAGCTGGTCCTGGTCCCATTTTCCAGCTGGGGGTGCAGGTGTGGGGGCTTCAGCAGCCCCTGGTAGGACCCAGAGGGGGCAGCTCTGTAGGACCAGTGACCCACAGAACTTTTGGGGTGCTCCATCCTCACTCTGGGGGCTCAGCCTCCCCTCCCTCCTCACCGACAGCCTGATAAGAGAAGAGGAGAAAGTGAGGGAGACAGGGAGCAGAGATTTAATTCTGTGCAAGCCTGGAACACGGGCAGCAAAGGCTGGGGGTGAAACTGCCTGCCATGGGGCTGCTGTGACTGCAGGGAGCACAGGGGGGAAAAGGGGGAAAAGGGGGAAAAGGGGGAAAGGGGGAAAAGCCAGAGCCCCCCTTGGCCAAGGCAGCGTGGGGAAGGGCTCTGCTCTCTGGATAAGGTGTCAGGGCTGTCCTGGGGGAGCAGCTTGTGTCCCTCACAGCCTGCAGAGAGCATCCAGGCTCTCAGAGCACATCCTGGAGGAAGCTGTGAGCAGTGGGGAGGCGCAGGGGACGGGTCAGCTCTGCCCTGCAGGGGTGCAGTGCCTGCTGTCCTGAGCACGTTTCCTCAGCCTGGCAAACTGCAGGGAGTCTCCTCCTGCAAGTCCCTGTGGAGAAAAATTATCACAGACCAAAAAAGGTTTATTGCTGGGCTAGGAATCCCGCCCATTCCCCCAAAATTCCCTGAGGTATGAGGTGATGTGGTCCTTGCACACCCCTGGTGTATGCCTTGGAGCCAGCTCCCACTGCCACAGAAAGATGGGAAAACATTTTCCACTGAAAAAATTACACTCTGTTAATCCAGCTGCCCCTTTCTTGCACCAGAAACAACCCTGTGGATGCATTAAGAATAATTCATTTATTTTTGCTATTATTTGGCAGCAGAGTCCAAATCCTAAATGCAGAGCCTTGCTTTCAGCAAAGATCCAAAACGTGCATTTTGAATTCTCTGCCAAAAGCAACACCAAATTATGGATCAGGTAAGGGCTCCCACAGACCTGACATTTATTTCATGGAATCCCAGACTCATTTGGGTTGGAAAGGAACTTAAAACTCATCCCATTCCACCCCTGCCATGGGCAAGGACACCTTCCACTGTCCCAGGCTGCTCCAAGCCCCATCCAGCCTGGCCTTGGGCACTGCCAGGGATCCAGGGGCAGCCCCAGCTGCTCTGGGCACCCTGTGCCAGGGCTGTCCACCCTCACAGGGAAGAATTTCTCCCTAATATCTATTAAAAATCTACATTCCTTCAGTTTAAATCTATGCCTCCTTATCCTATCCCTCCATGTCCTTGGAAAAGTGACTTCTGGGCTATTCCATCCTCAGCAGAGTCCTGAAGGCTGAGCCCTCCTCTTCCTCTTCCCTGCCTGCAGCCAACCATCTCTTTCCCAGCAACTCTTACTGGTCACTGCAGGCGACAAAAATTGACATTTTCAACCTTCCCAGTCGCAGAACAAAACACCTGCAACTGATTAAAAAAAGTTTTTTACCTGGAAAAAACCTCCGTGAGTGGGAAAAATGCACTCCAAGGGCTGGTTCTGATCTGGTGGTGTGGGACAAAGCCCAGAGGAGCTCTCCATGGAGAAGCCCTGAAGAAGGGACAGGACGTCACCCTAATGGTGCTGCACAGAAATGATCCAGCCAAATAACCCCCAGCTGAATAGAGCTGCACAGCCTTTTTATGAAATTAATAATGCGTGTAAGAGATAAGTGTGTCCCATTAGTGGATTTAATGCCTTGGCTTAAAAGTCCTACCCAGGAAACTTCCATGGCTTTTCTGCTGACTTCGCTGGATTTCAGAGCGTAAGAGAGAAGTGGAATTCAGCCTAAAAGTCAGACAGTGAATGCAGAAGTCAGGACTTAGGAAAAAGATTAAAAAAAAAAAAAAGAGCTGTTGATATTTCTCCTCTCTGACACGTCGCAGTCTGTCAAAATGGCCACTGCCTTTATTTTGTTTAATCACTTATCTCCATGGAGGGAAGAGGAAATTCCCAAGAACGCACGGTCGTTAAAAATATTAGCCAGGGCCTGGTGATTATTTTTGGTAGCTAAAAACTTCCTGGCTGAGGGGTCTGGGTTTGCATTGGACTCCAGTAAATGTTTTAGGATAACTTTCATAAATACCCATTATGCTCAAACCAGTGGGCAGTTTACAATTCAGCTGGGAAGGGCGGGGACATGTTTCTCTTTCTTTTGTTCTGCCTGGCCGCATGCTAAAGTGCATAGATCCACACTGAATTAGCATTTAGCTATTTTCTTGTATCCTTAAATAAAGGACCAGTTCACACAGTCAGAAATCTCTGTTTCCTTTCGGGCAGGAAAAAGGAAGTGAATGCAAGGGGCAGATTTGGAGTTTGCTTGCAAGAACAATTGAACTCCCATCCAGAGGGGAAGGGGATCTGCGTCAAGAGGAATTCACTTTTTTTTTTCTCTTTTTTTTTTTCCCCCCCCTCAACTCTGGAAGGGAAGAGAAAAATGACCTTTAGTTTAAAAGCCTGAAAGAATAAAGGTCTGAGCCTTCAGAGCTGCCTGCACAAATATAACCATGAAGGGTTTTTCCTGAGCTGCGACACGGCTCCAGTGCTCCCCTCTCCTTATCCCAGGTGAAACACCCAGACCTGTCAGCAGCTCCTGCCCACCAGGGACAGGCCTTGGGTGTTTCTGAAAAAATATCTGCTCTTTTCCTCCTCCAGCGTGCTGCCCGCGCTGCTGGGGCGGATGAGAGCTGGTGGATGAAATTGAGAGGATCCCCTTGCCTTGCTCGCCCAAAATCTTATTTATAGATGTGTGTGCAAGCAGGCAGGGCAGTGATTCAAGCTGTTGTGTGGGAGCAGCTCTTGCTGGCCCCATTTTGGTCCTTTTAGTGTACAACACAAAGCCCCTCCCAGCTTCTGTGGGCAGGGGATGTGCACGGAGCTTGGCTAAGTGTCACACCATCATCGGTGTGCTCTCATCTCCATGGTC